GTGTACAAATGTAGATAAATGTGTAAAATGTGTTTTCTTTTTTTTTTTTTTTAAAGATAACAAACCACAGCAAACACTTGGAATTCCCTAACAATATAGCAATGGTTTGGAAACCACCTAAAAGTTTTGCCCAAGCAAGCACACTAATTCAATTTATTCATAACATTCATTTATAACAAGTAAAAATATATGCAGAAATATTAGAATTATCAGAAACGTACAACTAAATATAAAGACATACTAATATTCAAGAAAACATGTAGAGAATTACATACACATGCACTCACTGTGAATATCTGGCACATTTTTTTTTAAAACCACTGATCCGAACAAATCTGAATATCATTATTATTTTATCATTTGAATATTTTACAGTACAAGAAGAGAGGTATATCACACCCTATTTATCTCATCTGTTCATGTTTCAGAAAACGCTCATAAGATACTTCACAGTGAGACTAATTATGGAAAGAAACGCACTCGGTGGAACTGCTTCCCTCGAAACTCGAGCTTGGCCGAGGATGTGTTCAACCTTTAGTTGCACAATGATTTTTTCCCCTCTGGCAACAGGATTGGATGACACGGTAAGTCCAGAGCGTGCGCTAAAGTATGAGATTAAATTACATCGCAGGACTGTGGCAAAACGAAGAGGCGTTTATTTAAAGCTTTAATAAAGTCGAGGATAAATTTGGTGGCTTCCGAGATCAACACACAAACTGCCAAACCAATACGAGACATTTCGCCTGTGTATAATGTGTGCAGATCTCTATTCTCCTGGAACATGAAATACTAACAGCACAGCGCTTGACAAACAAGGCATCTTCAGGCCTGGGGAGAGCGAAGGTAAACAGAGGACATGGGCTGATTCCTTCTGACACGCAAACCAGAGCATCACTTCCACTTAAGCAAGATCTGCTCAGGACTGGGCCTGCAGATGAGCATCTCCAGGGAGCACAGAGAGACAGCTCTATCGGTGGAGATCACAACGTGGCAACACATGCACCCCGAATTAGCATCAAAGAGCTTGGCAGTCTGGGGAACATCCGTTGACACTTCTGCTCGCCCCATGCTAGCTCAGATACGCCGCTTAATCTTAAAAGCATTGTTCAAATGGGAGGAAACTGTTTTAACTTATCGCAAGAAGAGCAGTCATTTCGCTTCCCGCTTTTATTGTGCTTGTTTGGAGCACGTGAGAAAGAGAGAGAGAAGGGGGGAAAACGATAACAGCCAAGACAAGTTAATCTCTAGCAGTCGCTTCAATTCAGAAGCAGATAGGCTGTGTTGGAAAACAAGGGTTTCAAACTCGATAGCAATCAAGCAATTACGCACCGCGGGAGGGAACAACAGGCCGGCTGGGACACCCAGCGGAGACAACAGAACCACGTCTGCCTTTGCTCAAAAGTCCAAAGGGGTTCCCCGGGTTCCTGTGCCGCATTCCTGCCTGTTTGTCATGCAAAAGATGAAAAAGACCTGAAGGAGACAAAACAGATGCACAATGGTGCTCCTGCGTCTGTTTTCAACTCCGAGAGAAACCTTTTCTCAATTACCGCTCGCAGTGGGAGCCCTCTGTCATCCAGGGCTTATTGCCACCCTGTGCCATTCATCTTGAATTAAATGGCTTAATCAATGCCAAGACAGAGTGGAACAACATGGCAGTACAGTAAGTAATTACCCCTCTCCCATAGAGAACAACACAACACAAGCCTCTGCCAGCTAACTCTGCGCAGAACACCACACCTGTGTGTGCACTCGTAAACACAACGGTACCGTTTAGTGCAACCGCTGGGATTTTACTGCTCTGCCAGTGGGTAAACAATCCCACATTTTATTTGGGACGTTCTGCATGAAAATCTATTATTATAGGTTACACCAAAACAATAGGCGTTTCTCAATGTCAAGGAAGGATCCTCGGAAGCCGAAATTTCGAGGATGCTACGTCGTCGATGTCGAGGACTGAGTCCTTCGTTCGGAAAATATCCCATACGCAGGAAAGGATGCATATGTGTAGCCTTTGCGCTCTTAAATCACCCACAATCCTATGCGCAGCTTTGCTATCTTGTTCAAAAAATAAAAAATGTCGACGGTTAGCGGAGTCGGAGTGATAACGGCAATATGCTTTCATATGTAAGCAAGTATAATTTCAGTTTAGCCATTTATTTAATGTTTGTTAAACTATTTAACATATCGGCTCAAATCGGGATTTAAAGCTGTTCCCTTTTACTGGTGATTAACTTTTTAATTTTTACTTCATGTAACGTTATAGCCTTTTTTGTTGGTCACATTTTTTTTACAATTGCATGCGTTTTAACAGCTAGTATGGACGTAGTTCTGTTCACTCCGGTAATATAATCGTTTTTGAATGAATAAACTCCTTTTTAAATCAATATTTTGTGTCAAATTATTGATTTATTTGGTAGGTAGCCATGTTATAAGTGGGAAAAAGTATAGCGAGGCAGTTGTTACAGCGAATACAACCCCTTCAGGCTGATTCAATCAAGACCCCTCCGCTTCGCGTTAGAGTTTACGGGGTTGTATTCACTATAACAACCGCCTGGCTATACATTATCCCTTTTACTTTTTTTATTTATTTCTATGAAGACTGACAAGACAAAATAAGGACTGTCAAGTGTGTTTAAACAGTGCAGTACACCAGCACTATGATTTTTGCAGCGCCGAAGCGGACCTTTTACTGATGTAATGACGCAATGACGTGCACTTGCTAGCCTGCTAAAGAGGACCCTTGCCTAGCCTCTGAAGGAAATGACTTGGAAGGACCCGTCCTGCCATTGAGAAACACCTAGGATAATCAAACTGGACTGAAATAAAAATGAATACCTTTTTAAGCTCACCAAATGATTTGATTATAAATACAGTAAAAACATTAACATTGCAATAGAGAGAGGTTGAAACAGTAACCAGTGCTGATATTGGTGGAATATCTCATGGTGCTGATCGCATGTCAGCCAATAGCTGGGTTTCATATGACGTCATGCCACTGCGTTGCCATAGCGCGAAATGCAAATGGAGGGCAGGAAGTGATTTGCTGTGTTTAGAAAGCACTATAACAAACTCAAAATGCTTATGTTGTGCATTGTTTATGGTTACTTAAATCAATCAAACCACAAGGAGTTTTTAATCATGTACCAAATGTTTTTGTTCATAAGGGGGGGAAATGCAAGAAATTGTCGGAAAAACTCTGGAAAAAAGGCTTGCAAACCTACGTACGACTGCGGTCGGGGGGAGCCGAATGGGAAAATGCCCGTGTGCGCGCAGTGATCACTTCGTCAAAGGTGAGTTAATACAAATCAAGTGGCTGTTTGTGTGTATGTAACGTACCAGTTTCCGAACTTTGTAAAGTCTAAGTATGCCTGTAAGATGAGGTACTGCCTCGATGGCAGGAATATCTCAATTCAGTTGAAAAATCGCTGCGAAAAGGATAACATCCAACATATGTTTGATTTTTTGTTCATATCTTTCTCTTGTAATAGTTGTAATGTAGTACAGTACGGACTTTCCTCAATCTCGTCCATTGCGCTCTTCACTCCCTGCCCTCCATCTGAATTTTGCGCGCCATCATAATCACGTGACTGAAACCCAGCTATTAGATTTGAGGACCAGAACTAACTGTTGTGTGTATATCTCTTTTTTTGTAAATGAGGGTGAGCAAATTATGACAATTTTCATTTTCGGGTGACCTATCCATTTAAGTAGTTGAGACTGAATTGTGAATCTTTTTGATGTATACATATATATATATATATATATATATATATATAAATCAGTTCAAAATAGTCTACAAAAACAACTACAATGTTACAACAGTGAGTAAAAGTGATGGGAATGCGAAATAAAGATATGTTGACAATTCAATATACTGCAAGCTCACAACCAGAGTTGTGCAAAAATCAGAATGAAGAAGATTGGCTGACTTTTAAAATTCATGAGTGTGAATATTAATTGAAAATGTCACGACCCACAAGAAGTTGAATGACATAAACTGAAATGATCTCAGAAACCTTCAAACGTTGAGGCTTTTTATACTGTTTTCAAAGCCTTCAAACAAGGCCGTAAAGCAAACATTCAACTTAAAAGTCTCGTTAAAAATTAATTTTTAGGAATTATTTAGAATTTCAATTCATTAATTCATTTCCTCGCATTTAAATTTGAAGTGCAATTCTGTATTCCATTTCGTACTTTAATTCAAATTTAGGAACTGAATTGGAATCGCGCACACAACCCTGTTCACACTTGGTTAAAACATAATTTATTCTGCTATAGTTTTTATTTGGCCATAATTCATGATGCAGAAATCAAGCAAGAATTAATCATTGACATCAACACTGAACATCACAAACATAATTTGGATTTTCATTTTCTGAATAAGAACGATTTTTGATTCCCAACCCCATGTAAACCCTTAGGCTTTGTGTATACAACTAACAACATCAAAAATTGATTATAAAGGCGTACTTTAGTCTCTGTGCTGAATAACAGTGTTTATTATGGGTTCAATGTCTTAGCGCGCAATCAACACAGGTAAAGGAAGTGAATGAGATACAGCACTGAAAAACAGCAAACATAACAATCGATTTAATGAAACGAGTTAAATGATCCAGTATGCGTCTTGTTGAGAATGGCTGAGAAGTGTTCATTAAAAGCTGGCTGAGTGAACTGGCAGCATCACGTCTGCTAAAATTACCATACATTAGCGCACTTACCTTGTTTTGTATGATTAATGAAGAGCGGCGCTGCCACTTGCACCCTAAACGGCTGTACTGGGGCTAGTTTTAATCAGCGATCAGCGTGCACAGCGAAACACAGAGCTATAACAGCCACTTTTACACAGACAGGACTGGAATGGCCTATGATAACTCCTCTTTCCATATTTAAGAGAAAAGGGAGATGCAGAAGGAGATGCAGCGCATGCACACACCAAAGACAAACATTTATATGCCTTCATATAAAACACACACAAATAACCAGAGAGTTTTTGTACTCACATCTGAATTAAAGCGAAGCTGACAGATGTTGCAAGAAATAACTAGCTTTTTCTTGGGAGGAATGGAGACTCCAAATGTGTGGTTGATTACAGCTTTCTGGACAGGGTCCATCTGGAAGACAAAGAGCAGAGGAACATTTAGGGTGCTTTCACACTAGAGATTGTGGTGTGGATCAGAGTCTGTTTGTCGTCAGTGTGTGAATTGTTTGGCTGATGAAAAAGGTTTTTTTTTTAGACTCAGGTGTGCACACATATAAAAATAAATAAATAAGTTGGTTTGGGGTGCAGTTTTCAATTGCCATATAAAGGTAATATGTCCAATTTGTGGATATGAAATTGCATTAATAATGTTGAGTTTGCATATTTTCATGATTCTGGGCATACTTACTATAATAGATTGCTCATAACCAACAAGTATGCAATACATTGATGTTGATAACATTTCTAATATTACAAATATATATACAGTATTTCAAATAAATGCTGAAAAACCTTTTCTATTTATTGAGGAATTCTGAAAAAAAAATGTTTACTGAAAACTATTTACTAAGCAGCACAACTCTTTTCAACATTGATAATAAAAAATAAAAGTAAAAAAAAAATGTTTCTTGATCACCAAATACTGCTGAAGAATTCAGATGTGCCATCACAGAAATAAATTACACTTTCAAAAATATTAAATTGTAATAATATTTTACAAAATTAGTTTTTACTGTATTTTGATCAAATAAATGCAGCCTTTGTGAGAGCAAGAGACAAAATATAACCAACCCCAAAAATGTAAGAATATATAATTAAATAAATAATAATTCTCCTTGTAAACCTAAAGACTCTAATTAGGAGCCCAAGTCATTTGGCTAAGTTGATAAGTCACAACCAACCACTATATTTAACTTTCCATCTCTACTCAAGAAGTAGAGCATCTGTGTATGTGAACGCAAGGTTTTAGTGGTGAATTCAAAATGTCATTATGTAGATACAGTGGTACACAGCTGCTGCTAGTACTCACAATGCTCTTACATCAATGAACAATTGGAGTATCATTAGCAAAGAGACAAAGAAAATGAAGTATGAAAACAGCATTAGAATGAAAGTTAGAGAGACATGAATCAGACACACACAGTGTCCTCTGCATTAGTCAATGTCCACGGCCCTGAACACTAAATGAGAACAATAAGAATCCCAAGCTGCCGGCAAAACAGCTGTTTAACGGTGAGAATCAATGGCAGCCTTGCCTCGTGGGCTCAAACTAATAGAAATAGATACTCTGATTATAAGGATAATGAAGTCAGGAAGCAAATATGAACACTGCCACATCAGCACAGGAGAGCAACCAAGCACATCTGTGGTCTTGATGGATTGCAGCTCCAGAAGTTATGCCAGCTTGTTATCCTTTAATCAAACAAATAATTTGAAATCCAAGCAAACAAAAGCCTTTTATAAACCTTTACAAATATGCACTCATTTTCTCCAATTAAGTCCTGAAAGCTCATAATATGACAGATGCACTCAGGCTCAATCCTAATTCACCCCTTGGCCCTACACCTTGTTTTCGAGAATACCCCTTAGCCCTGAAAACAGAGTTACAAGGGCCGAGGGGTTGAAACATTCCCCTACGAAATTGAACAACCCTTCATGAACCCGATACGTCATCAGTCGTCGGCGATGCCGTCACAGAGCTTTTACAGGATTTCTCCATGACAACGACTGACGCTCTTAACTTTGAGGAAACATGATGATTATAACATTCCTTCCTCGAAGTCTTTTCTGATTCGGGTAAAGGGTAAAGGTAATTTATTATACAATTTCTTAATTTAAATGACTATAGTATTATTATAAGAGTAAATAAAGTGTATGGTGGTATCATTTGGTGCTAAATTTAAATGTTTAACCATTTGCAAAGCCATCTCACTGGTGATAGCCACATAATGAAGGTCCGTACATGCAAAACAAAGCATTGAGAACTTTGTAAGTGTACAGACTTACCGTTTAATAAGAAAATATTTTATAAAGACAGTTCACTTTGTGTTTATAGACAAGAGCCATCTTTGGAAAACAGTGGATAGTCGAACCACGAACGATTTGTAAAGTGAGCTGAACTGTATGAAGTTCAGCGAACTTCTGAACTGTATGAACGGCGTTCGTGGTTCGACTTATCGAGTCTGCTTTTCAAAGATGGCTCCTGGCTGTATACACGAAGTGGACTGTCTTTATAACGTATCTTGTTATTTAAATGGTCTGTACACTTAAAAAGTTCTCAATGCTTCACTTTGCATGTATGGACCCTCATTATGTTACAGTGTTAGTGTGGGGCTATTTTGACTCTTATAAACTAGCGATTTCTTTTTACTTAGTAAATGCCCCCATTACTAGCGTTATTCGCTAAACAGTTTTTAGAGATAAAACTCTTTACATTCGATTATCATGCAAACAAATCTCAGAGAACGGTCGACTAGGTACCAATGTTTTATTAGACCAAAGGTTCATTTTGCGCCAGAGTTCTCCTTTAACAAATAAAAATATGCCAAAAAAAACAAAAAAACATTTAATGCTTAAAAGCAGAAATGATCATGATATTCAGTAGTTTCTAACTATGTTCCCATTCTATGCTCATGGATCTGAGAATTTAATGAGACAAGAAAATAAACGGACAAAATTTTAACAAGCTCTAAAAAATGTGCTGTGCAGCATCCAATAGGATTACGCACAGAGTTTCACTTCTCGAAGCCATGCATGAAACCCTGAGAGAGCTGACTTCTGAGTTTGCCTCCAAGTAATTTAACCATTTCACACACTCACTACAGCCGTCTCTCTTAGCAGGAAGGCATTTCATAGCTCACTTAAAATACAGACAAAAGCAAAAAACTATTCAACTTGAGACACAATTCTGGCATATTTTACCTGGAGCGAATGGAGAGTGTCCATAACGCACTTTTGTGTGAAATCACAACTGAGAGAGGAGTCCAGTGAGAGACGGACAGAGATATGGTGTGGCTTGCACTCCGGCAGCGATGCACTGGAGGTCTGTTCTCACGACAACACCTCTCTCTCTCTCTCTCTCTCCATCTCTCAAAAACACACACGCATGCACGCTCACTCTCTCACTGTCACCCTGCCTGCCTGCTGATCCTCGCATCTTAGGCTGATTAGCTCTGAATAACTGATGAGCTTGGGTAAACAGGAGTCAACTCTACACAGCCAATTCTGTTCACTCCTGATAAGAGTTCGTATGAACTCAGTCCATTAAGAATTTATGATAGTCACCCTTCGAGTCGGATGGATTGCACCCAAAGTCTTGACTTTATTTAACTAAAATGGATGTTTTTGGATTCTGGCTTAACTAGCTAGATGTTTAGCTCAATGTATCAATCCCTGTTTACAGTGAGAGAAATGATATTATCACTGGAAGTCTGAAAGTGGCTGTATTGACAGCTTTGGAAATGTATAGAAATCAATATATTAGGGCTGTCAAACGATTAATCACGATTAATCGCATCCAAAATAAAAGTTTGTGTTTACATAATGTACGTGGGTGCACTGTGTATAATTATTTTATATATATATATATATATATATATATATATATACACACACACACATGGTTTATATATTTAAAAAATATTTTTTTGTATATACTGTAGATTTATATATCTTGTTTCTTGTTTCTTGTTTCTTGTTTATTTATTTATATAGATTAGCACTATTAATACACAACCCAAGTTGAACCAAAGTGCTTTACATACAGATTCCCATGAAGGATAAATTTTTTTTTTATAAATATATAATTTATATTACATATAAATATAAATATTTTTTTTCTTAAATATACATGTGTGTGCATTTATATATATATACAAAATAATTATACACAGTGCCTATAATTATATATATATATATATATATTATGTTAACACAAACTTTTATTTCGGATGCGATTAATCGCGATTAATCGTTTGACAGCCCTACAATATATGCATTTTTTCAGAAAGTTATTTATAATCTTATTCAGAAACTTATTTGCTGTCATTAAAATATCAACACAAACACATTTGAGTAAATACCCCTTTTCATAGAATTAATTATTGTATTTAATTACAATTATTTAAATGTATATAATTGAACACATACATTCATACAGTGACACATTAATTTATTACAACTTTTAAAAATATATATTTTATATAACTTTTTCATTGTTTATGCGGACAAAACCTTGACCCCTTGACTCCATGACCGGAAACAAGCAAATGATGTCATCAGTGGCAGTTCACCTCTGTGAGTTAGGAGAGGTTGCTTTTGCACTAATTGTGAGTTCACCTAAACAGGACCCCAGACTACCATTTCAAGCAGACTTGAATGCATTTTGCTGATGCCATTTTATCCTTGGATAAGAGTATAGTGCACTGCTTTCTATTTGATTAGGGAACGGTACAGTCGACTAGCAGCCATCCATTCATGCCCTCTACGGGTCACTAATGCAGTTCCTCACTGCTCTGCTGCTAACTCTACAAACCACAGTACAGAAAACTCCCCATGTCATTTTTTTTAAAGAATCCAAAGTCCACAGTTGCAGTCTGTCAGTTCTCTGACACTCTACCTGTTGTGCATGATGCTGAACAGCAGTAATCTGTAATTAAAATCTCTCTCTCCCACCACAGCAAGCACAACTGCTATCAGTGCAGGGAAGTTACAGGCTAAAGATACAATGACTTTGGGAGACGGAGGGGTCAGGAGAGAGGATACAGCTGGTGGCCACAGCAAAATCTGGTGTATGGGACACTCTACAGAGGGGGGAAACTGAAGACGGATGGGTTGCAACGTCCCTTTGTGGAGAAAAAGAGCTCATGAATATTAATTAGTCTGCACTGACATTGCTCAGAGATTTCAAAACTGAAACGTCAACAATATGATTTCACATTAAATGGTCGATCAACTTTTAAATGTCAAACGTCAAAATACTATGAGATTAGGAAAAAACATAAAATAATAAATTAATAAATGTAGGCCTACATTAATAATTTTAAGGTGCCCTTGAGCAAGGCAACTAACCCCCAATCGCTCCCCGGGCACCAAAGCAAAAATGTCTGGAGTGCTCTGGGTGTGTATGTGTGT